GCCGCCATGTTGGATGAATGAGCTAGAAAAACAAATGAGGAATGCTTTGTGATCTTCATCCAACAAGGCGGTGATGAAGTAACTTGCACGCCAAGAATACCATGACAGTTTGTATTCAAATATATTTTAATGAATTTCTAATAGGATAATTAATCAATGATTAATTAATCAATGATTAATTATTAATTAATTAGCTATTACAAATTCCTTTCTAACGATAAAAAAATGAAGATCTATATGACACGCAAATTTGAACAATCACAGATGCTATTCCCAYATGGAACTGCATCATCGAAAGTKATCTCCTCTTCCCTTCCATTCCCGTTTTTGGAMGGCTCTCTACCCTTCCCATACCRCTGACCATCTGCATGCAAGTCACCTGAGCTACTAAATGATACCGTAAATCATCCAAAATTACGKTTTTTAATCTACATCATGTAGGGTGAGTGAAAGTCACTCACTCGGTCAGCAAGAGTAACTGTTTCAAAAAGTACTAAACTAATTTCATATACACCTCACTTAAATCATAGATAAAAGAGAATAGTACTCTATACTATGCTTAAATTAACAACTTCCTTAGATGAGTGAGAGTAGGACTAATATTATCTGGCACAGTCCGTTTCTCCTCATTTCACCACAGAGAGCCCAACAAAATGGAATACTCACTGCAGAAACTTATGACTAATGTTGATTTATATGTAAATATAGTCACTATATATCCCATCATTTCTACTACAAAACAATAGAATACACGACTCCAGTCGTAGTACTAGTAAAAGAGTCTAATGGAAAGATCAACAAGTTTTTATACAATAAAAATGAATTGAACTCAACTGATATGCCAATACTCCATTTAAAAGTTCAAAGTGCCATCTTTGAGAAAAGTCTTTTAATTAAAATGAGACAGGCTTTGAGCATGCAATGACAGACACCTTTTATCACATCTAAGACAATTGTTCAAAGGTATCTATCATTGTTAGCTCTGGCTGGGCTACCTTTYAAGATGGCACTAGGRGCTGTAYATTTMAGTGGAGAATTTTAGTTTTTTATGCTTTAGATTACACAATTATTAGTGTAATACATGTACCTGGCCATATATTCTATACAGTACACCTTCAATATTTGGTATTAGTGCAATCCAAAAATACCCCAATTTCCCATTTGTAATTATTCATATTGGATCTATTATATTCTTATTTTTTATGACTTAAAATTTGCTAATGATGAGAGATTGACTTTTGGTAGAGAAGGCATGGACGGTAGCGTTAGGTTAGGTTTTGAAAGGTTGTGTAGGTTGGGACTTATGTTTCTTACAGCTGATATGGCTTTTTGTGGTGCAGCACTGATACCAATCTAAATAGGAATTAAAAAATATTTTTGGAATTAGTAAATGGGAGACAATGCATTGTTTTAAAGACGAATTTAAAGGAGGAAGTGGCTAGAAGAGCAATAAAATGAAAACATTACAGGTAAACTTTGAGTGCACAGAGTTAAAGAACGTAATAAGAAACGGAAGGGACAGAAGAAGGATAGATGAATGAATAGCTGGGAAAAGGAAAGAGGAGAGAAGGAAAGAAAGCTCTCAAGAAGACAGGAAATATATAGAGGAATAATAATAATAATCAAAAAGAGAACAAAACAAGCCACGAAAGACAGAAGGAAATACAAGAGAGACAAAGAGAAAAGAGAAAAAGGGAAGAATTGAATAGAAACAGGAAAATTGAAAAAATGGAAAGAAAAGAGTAATGACAGTAAGCAAAAGAAAGGCACAATAAAAGTGAGGGGAAAAATGTACTTAAATAAGAACAGATAACAACATAATCAAAAACATGTCCCTCAACACTTACTTCTGACTTCTCTAATTTACTCTGTGCATCAATATGTGTTAATATCTCAGACATGTTTGTCTCTAATACCATTCCACCCATAACGATTTCAGCTAAAATATTGTGAACCTACGACAAACAAAAATGGGTTGACACCTTAACATTTTGAAACTTAAAATAGGATATTTAGTGGTGGACTAAACACAGGATTAAATATTTTGCCAAAAAATTAAATTTGATATTCAGTACGTAGGTGCATTAAAGATTAACTTTAATCTATATTGATACTGGCATATTCTTATAAAAGCAAATGGAGAATTTAAATTTACGGTGGTTACAACTGAGTGATGGCTAATCAAGGGAATTATTGTTTAAGGAGACTCAATTATATTACTATTTTACCTTGTCCATGTGGAAGATAAGGTCCAATTCACAGACATTCTCAAAACATTTGTCTAGTGTTTCAACAAACACCTGCAAGAACATACAGTAATACACATTAATAATACTATATAATCATGGTAATCATCATCATCATCATCATCATCATTATCACTATGCTTTAAGCGACACTAGAGGATTATTAGGGAATATTATTAGATATATATCTCCTTTAGTCTTAACAGCTAAGGGTATCAATACACTTCCATGTAGACTAAAAACTTAGCTACACCTTGTTGTTTTGATAAAAGAATCAAACTTACTCTTGTTTGATCTATTGAGTATAATAGCAATTCTCAATGTTCTAATTAGTACAATTTATTATAGTTCAAATCAAGTTTTATAATGCACAAATACCTGTATCAAATCTAAAATTCCCAGCTCACTTTCAGATGAATCTACACAGAACACAAAATAAAGAGTTGCATAATGTCTGTAAACCAGCTTGAAGTCTGAACCTCCTATGAGYCTGTGAAAAGCATTAAAACAAATMATTAAYTATCAMGAATAAGTMAATCAAGATGACAGTGTTKAAAAYAGTGAAGTACAATAAAAASCTTGGTCAGACGGGGACTTCTACAWACTAGAAGAWCATGCSATTAATATGGAAGGTTTACTTACGATCCTCCTTCAAGGAAGTTGCATACATTGTCATCTCTTCTTGATACTAAGTGAAAGGTTTCTCTGATAATTTGTTGTTGCATATCTTCATCCTACAACATTGTTTTAAGAATATCAAAACAAATTGAAAATAAGCAGTTTTCAATCATCTCATGTTAATGAAGACACCATTGTGACGTCACCATGCCACTCTTTCTCAGCTTACATTACTACAAAAAAGCCTGCCTCAAGCACTGCAGCTATAGGACTCTATCATTCACATGTTACTAAAATGCAATTAGTCATACAACTGGGTTTATATCAAAGCCAAAGTGTCCTTAGCCCAACACATTGGTTATACATTGGATATCTAGTAATCTTATAAAACATCATATAACTTCAGAAATTGAATCTAAGCTTTCATGCATCATTTTCTGGTACATTAAGCACGGAATGATAATAGAATATATTACAGTAAGAAAGACTCTTTCAAATTGAGAGAATTCTCTTATCCATGCCTTTTGTAGATCATAACTTTTTCTAAAGTTTATATCTCAGCGGAGATCGACATGGAACAATAAAGAATACTTCAGTATATTTCCGCTCAATACGCACAGTATATTACTGAAATAGAAATTCCATCAGTGCTTAACAGTGCTGAAAGATTTAAACAGTGGACTTTCAGTTCCCTTGTCTGAATCAACACAGATGATGTCACATGATTTTACGAGTTTTATTGCATCAACAAAAACCCCTGCTATTTCGTGTACTTACATAGTGCTGATAAAACTTTGACAGTCGAGGTTTCCCATGGTTGTTAAAGATCAAAATCGCCTTGATCATGGCGATGAATATCTTTCGAAAACCTTCGAAATGCGGCAAGTTGTACAGGAAATGCAAGATGGCGACCAATATGCTATCCCAGTATGCATTGCAATCAAAACAGACCCAGTCTCACGCAATTTTGCTACACAGCAATCCCATTGTTTAGTTCATCACCATACCAAACAAAAGAAAAGACAAGACAAGTTATTGAAAATATCATTTATTACTGGATTCCCGGATTCTATATGATTTGTGCAGCAAAGCATGATGGTAGTTGTAGTCTTCGCACTTTTCATAGCACCTAAAATATCTCCTTAAAAGGACTACAACTACCATCATGCTTTGCTAAACAATATGGCGTCACTGGCTATTTAGTGTATTTGTACTCATACCACATCACTACTTAATTAACAGTATTGAGATATCTACATATTATATTTACAATGATATATTTTATCTTATCTGTCACCCAGTTTTTGAAGTGCTCAGTGAGACAGATATATAGGCTGTAAGCCTGTATCATACTGGCTCATTTTTCTTCTTTCCCTTAATAACATTCCACTGAAAATCCGCGGTTACATTAAAGTGTCATATTGGGCTTATAAAGACAAGTTGACGTTGCAAAAATCAGCAAAGCTCTTCCTCAACTTCCTACCCAGTTCAAATTATGTTAACTACTTCTTTTAAATTATTTTGCTGGAAACASCTTTTCATCAAATATCTGTAAGTATCTTCGTCCGTTTGTGAGGTTGTCCGTCATTTATTTTGAGGTCATATATTTTCTACTGAAGCACTCAATTCCTCCACTGTATGTTTATGGGTTTGGTCGCGTGGTCCCGGTATCGTGTGATTCAACCATGTGGGATTGATAGGTGCTGATATCCGTACGCATAAATTTGTGGAAAATACCCGCTGATCACACTAACATATACGCATCAATCAACACGCATGCCAACACCAGCAAGCCGCTGATAATCGTCAACGAACTGGTATTACACATGTCTCTGTCCCCACAGCAAGTAATTGCGCAGTCGCTGATCAAATGAGACGAACTGCAAAGTGATTTTCCGCTTTTGCATTTTGTTTTAGTGTGGCATGCCCGCGCGTAGACTTTTAGCAAACTTCCATCACCGTTTCGTAGTTTGTACGAGTATTTTGAGCATAATAATCCCTCTGGGCAATTTTCAACACCTTTTTCTTCCAAACATCGTTCGTGTGATTCAGTATTCGTGCATGAATGGCATTTTAAGCTTTCTGAAACATAAACAAATAATAAATCAATTGAAATTATATAAACTCAAAAATAATTTCATTTGTGATTGAATCAACAGCTCTAGGGCCGAGAAACTGAACATAAAACCACGCCAAATACTACAACAAGCAAATTAATGCTAACGCGCGCTTTCTTAGCAACAGCTGTACGCGAAAATGAAGGTGGAGTCTTGAGTGAAAATCAAGTTTACCATGGAACACCTTATACATAAAGTCATAAAAACAATAACACAAGCAATGCACTGAAATTTTCTCAATTTTTAAGCTTCCATCGATTTGAGCGCATTTTGTCATAGTTAGGGATGACTTTGGTTGAACATCTCTGAAATCGCCTTTCAAGGTTTTCGGAGAAGTAATACTCGCTGAAAAGAGGTTTCATTGACTGATTTTCAATGGTATAAAAATAAATAAAACGAGGAATTTGAGAGCACGCCTCACTCTGCATGGTATCGCTATTCAGTCTGGTCGTGATTGCAATTATCATTGTCTGATGGAAGACATATTTCAGTACATAAGATACCGCAGATGTAATTGCAGGACTCAAGCTCACGGAACAGTGTATTGTAGACAGAGATAAGAAATATAACGAGTTTATGTCACTGATAGGTACTCAATTTCCACAGCAGTGACGAAAGAAGATAGAAATCGAATATTGTTAATGGCTAGCCTAGATAGTCTTCTTCGATAGTTCATCGTAAGGTGCTTGGGTAATTTAAGGAGTATTCCGAGAAATATGAATTCTAGCTCATATATATTCTAAGGCTTGTGCAAATATGTTTACATCCTGGATGACTTTTGAATAAACCAGTCAACCATGCAAAGAAATAAGCTACTGACAGCTAAAATGTTTCCGTGAACTGTTCATGATTTTCATCGGCTTTTTTATAGCATGCAATTAGTATTGCGCCGTATAATTTTCGCCGAAAACAAGCGCTCACTATACTGCAAAAAGCGCCAGAGTACTAGTAAGCCCAACTAAGAAAAGAGGACGATAGTATATTAGTTTTTCCATCAAAAAACCGATTGAAAAACCGTACGCATGTTCTTAGCCACCATCCCACCCTATATAGGCGAAACGTTGTCATTCCAAACTTGGTAAAAAAATATCTATCCATGCAAAAAGCAGTCAAAACGTGCCCCATTTTACATGTCGAATGTCTAAAAATAATGATAATAAATGGACTGGTTTATAGAGCCCCTCAGGCCTGAAGCAAAAACAATGAAAAWAATGGGTGGTCCATTCGAACCCCTGCCGTTTTACATTCTCCTCTAAATGTTGTGTCGACGCTCGTTTAATTTGGTTTCTATTGTGTATAGTTAGTGGCACGCTAGCTATTAAACGTATTTAGCTTATTGTATATCGATGAACAAGCGTCCTTTCAAATYGTTCTACGGTCTTGGAATTTTTAATAACAGCACCGACGTAAACGGTTTACTGAAATTAGGTGGCGCCATTTAAAATTAATCATTCGAATCTAACACGTACAAATTGAATTACATTGCTTATAATCAACCCGCATTTCAAAAGCTATTAGGAACTTTTTACCGCGAATTTAACTCAATTTCTAGGCATAGTTAGAATTCAATTAGGTCAATGGAAGCGGCAATGTATCACGAGAGATCACAGCATATATATTGACCATCTTAACCCCCTGATAATAATCGCGAGATAACGACGAGACCATGTAGAGGCATGGTATTACTTTCAAAGAAAATTATAAACACTACACTTAAAAAACAAAACACAATTTGAAAACTTAAAATATGCTAAGTTTTATTTGCAATCTTGTATCATAAAAGTATTCTCTCTATTTTGTCCGCGGACCCTGAGCAAAGATGGCGGAAAATAAAATTCAGTTTCGTGAGGTTTAGAGGTAGGCTGAGTAAAAATATTTAAAAAATTAAACAATTTGCGGTTGTTATTTTTCTGTGATGATTTCAATTTGCCTGATTTGGTTTTGATATTCATTTCTTAGTCTTAAAACGAGTGAGATCATATTTTTAAGGATGAACTATCAAAAAAAACAACAGTTTCGTTACAAAAGTTGAACTGAATTGGTGGCCATTATCCAAGATTTTGAGGGTCGCGAGTTGCCAAAAACTAAATTAATACATAATGAATGAAGTGGTTTATGAAAACATTTTCAGCTTTGAATTCCTTCTGGTAACAATTAAAGATGTGTCGATCATGCAAAATGCAGCAATTGTTTTTTTTCTTCACTGAAACTATGATATTCTAGCTCGCATCTGGCTTTCTTRAGCAGTAAAACTGCTACARGCATGGTTCACAAGCTATTTTGTGTTGTACAAGAAGACATACAAGCTCATAAGTCCATAACATTCCTTCCAAGTCGCATCATTGAATGTTGAACGATTTATAATTGCTCGGATTGGATCATGTCATTAACGCAAGACCTTTCATGCTAATTTTCAATAGCAAGAATGTATTCAATATCACAGGCCCTTGATGAAATATCACAAGATTGCAATCTAACTCGGCACAGTATAATGTACCTGCCGAATCGTGAAAGTAGGGACAATATTTTATGACACTTTCCCAATAACTTTCCGAGGTGACTTAAGATCATTTTGCAAAAAGAATTACATTCGCTGTTAAAAATAAACAAACAAAAAACTACGCGTCTTGTTGTTAAGCCTCAAGTACAATGAACTTAGGGAAGGAACCAGAGAAAAATAATCACAAACCCTAAGCCTTAAGTACAATAAGAGATGTCTTTAACAAAAGCATGGTTTAAGCATTCAAAAGACGTTATAAAACAGTGTTTACAATTCTGCTTAATTCAAAGCATTCCTTGTTGTAAAACATCAAATCTGGATATCTAAAATCAGATATTATTCAGTATGTATACGCACTTAAAACGTTTACACAATTGCAGGGTGTTATATCCAGCGCGCGCGTGCATTCCTAGTCAAGCCCTGTCAACTCCACATACTGTTTATCATTCGCTGAGACATATTTTACATTAGAAAATACCTAAATTCAAGTGTATTTACCGTGTGTATCAGATACTGACCTGATATATATGCAGCCCCAAGCAGTATAAGCAAACAGACCAGCATTTGTGCCATGGTTGTGATCCGATATCAATTGAGGCGAGAAGAACACGTGTCGTTGATTCAATATAACAAACTGCTCAGCTGGGGTCATGACAAGACAAGTTATTTTTGTGGGGGGAGGGGAAAGGCAGTAGTGTTTTCACTAGCCACCGGAATTACAGAGTATGCGCGCACTAGCACAGTATATTTTGTCACGAGAGATACTCAGATGACAAGGTGCGTTTCTCAGTCATATCATAGTCAAGGGTTCCAATCCCAGTCACTGCACCTTAAATCTTTCTTTCATTTTTACTAAACGCTATTTTCGTTATTGTTTAATAAGTCAAATGATTTTGTGAAAATATACATCTTCTTTTTTACACTTAATGATCAGTACATAAAGCACTATTTCTATTCTTTATCTTTCTAAAGTTCTTCTTCCGGGTCAGTTTTTATAGCATGTGCAATACTTCATCAAGTCAGGTATGCCGAATTTTTTGCAGGATATGTTAGCTTATGTTTACTTCGACTCGGCCATTTCATGACCTTAAGCAGAATAAAAGAATTGGTTTCTCCAAGCTGTTATAATTTTAATTAGTTAGCTGACAAAAATCTTTCGCCGTGATTTGTGAGTGAAACCACAGACGACGGCTCCCAGCCCCCACTGGCAATACCGGAGGAATTAACATATCATCAAGGTTAAGTCACAGGGCATTTAGCCAGCTGTTAGAAAGGTAATATTCTTTGATATAGACGTTAATTCTCCCGCCTACCCGT